TCAATGGGAAGCTAGACTCTAGACATGTGGTATGTCTCCTGTTACCCTTTTGCAAGTGAATTTTTTTTTTTGAGTTAAAAAAAAATATGTGTGATGTTAAAATTAAAAAAAAAACAACTGTTATTGTTCATCCTAAATAAATTTAATTTTTTAATTAGGTGCTTTAATTACTGTTAATTATTGTATTTATTACATTCATTTAATTACTGTTAATTAAGTTGCAATTAATTATTGGTAATTAATTTTAATTACAATTAATTGCAACTTGTAACTGATTTTATAATTAATTGATAACAGATTGCCAGTTTAAGTACAAAATGAGGTTACCTCCACTATATGTTGTTAAGGAGGAATTATTTCTTTGTTCAAAATGAACCATTTTTTAAAGAAAATATGCTCTGTATTTGAACGTTGATGATCACTAGTAAATAATTTGAGCTTTTAATACTTATTTATGTTTGAAAGTCTCATATGCATGGTTTTGACAAGAATAAAGAAAACAAAATAGATGCTTTGAAATATCTGGATTTGTTCATGGTTTAATACTTTCATTTCTTTAAACTATTAATATGGTGCCTTCTATTAATAATTCCATACTTTAGTGTATTTATGCATCTAACAAGCTTAGTACAGAAGGTGGTAGAAGTGAATGTAAATTTGTTCATCAACTTCTGTGGCAGTTGTCTGCAGCAGATATGGTTTTACTCTCAAGACATAAAAATCATGAGGTTCGAACATCAATAGATAAACCCCTCCTCGGCCTAATCCAACATATATTTGCAGTATAATTGCTAGGCAATTTAAATGATTGTAGGAAATATTTTAAAGTTTCTATATAATGTTAAGGAACAAAAACTTATTGAGTGAACGATTCAAGTTTTCTTGGATTAGTTGGTGTCTAAGGCAAGGTTTAAGGGTTGCGTAACGCGCTCTGCAAGGAACGATGTACTTAATTGATCTTTGATCAACCTCTATTACTATCCTTACCTGGCTAACTACCCGGATAAAACTTTAATCTTTTCACTTTAGGAGTTTTTGGTTTGGAATAAGAGGACCAGAATTATGAGAATAATTCATATGCATTTATTTAATTACGCTTCTTGTAGCATATATTGCCTAATGATAAATGATCAATATATGAGCGAACCAAATCAAAGAGGTGCATGTTTTAATATTCTATTTTATATGGTGGATTATATTTCAAATCTTCAAATATAAAGTTCATCACTTTTATTGCATTTTGATGGATATTGCAATAAATGTTCATATGTCTTTTTAGATAAATTGCATTTGTTACATGATTAATTACAATGTTAATTTTATGCAAGAATGCACTTGAAAATTTTAAAGCACGTATGTACAAATATTATTATTATTATTATTTGTATAAGAGGTGGTACTAGAAAATGACTACATAAATTTAGAAGGTCTCTTTTGTAGACAACCAATTTAAATTTGGAAGGTCTCATTTGTAGGCAACCGATTTAAATTTGGACGGTCTCCTCCTTAACCCCTCACTCTCTACCCCTATTTATAGTAATCTTCAATGAATATGAGCCATTGGATTTGTCTTGAGCCCCAAACAACAATCTCCACCTTTGAATTTGCTTTTTGTTCTTCTCTAGCCCAACATAAGAGGCCTAATTGATTTTCAAAAATAAATAAAAATCAAGTTAGTATTATGATCATCAAGTCCGGCCCATTTCTCCAAACAAATCTGCATCAACCCAAGTTCCATTTATTTTCAAAAAGAAAACAAACAAGTCCGGCCCAATTATGTTAAAAACCAACTTCAAAGTCCGGTCCCTTGTGGTTTGCAGCTCCGGTCCTTAGTCTGCAGTGATTTTCAAATCCCAAACTTTGAGCTAAGTCCGGTCTATGAATGATTTAATTTTCTGCAGCCTAGCCTATCTTCATTTGATTTTTAAACCAAAGTCCATGCAGCATAATCCGGCCCACTTCTGATTTTCGGCCCATGTGTTGGAGTTTCTGCAGCAACTTATGATTTTCCAAAATGCAAATGAAAAGCTAAACAAACAAATCCGGCCCACAACTTTCCAAATTCTGCAGTAAAACATCTTCACTTGATTTTCATAAGAAAATCTAAGTCTCCGGCCCATGTTAGCATTTGATTTTCGTTATGAAGAGCTGCAGCAGTCCGGTTTTGTAATCTTTGCATAAAATCCCACTTCATTCCAACTATTTGCATCCAAGTCCACGTTTGATTTTGAAATTCCAAGCCTCTACAACCAAGTCCAGCAGTCCGGTTCTATTGGCTTTTTGCTTCAATATGCTTCTAAAATGCTACAAAAATAGAGAAGAGATATTTTGAGGGGTTTTTACATTTAATAATATTTATTTATATTTCCATTCATTTATGTGCAAACTAATCTAACAATAATTATTAATGATATATTTATTCATATAAAATAGATAATGAGGATATAAAATTGTAATAAAATGTGATTATCAGACTCCTCAGACTGTACAAAGCCCTTGGCTCTTCTTAAAGGTAAGCCCAAGACACAACATATGGTTCGATTTCGTCTGCTCTCATCGACCATCATGGTCAAGACCTTGGTACCTTCTCAGGGTAAAACCAAGGTACAACGACTTCTTAGTCGGCATAAAGACCTTGGTACATTCTTAGGGTAAAACCAAGGCACAACGACTCATCAGTCGGCACAAATCCCTTGGCTCTTCTTAAAGGTAAGCCTAAGGCATAACATATGTTTCGATTCCGTCTGCTCTTATTGACCATCATGGTCAAGACCTTGGTACCGTCTCAGGGTAAAACCAAGGCACAATGACTCCTCAGTAGGTACAAAGCCCTTGGCTCTTCTTAAAGGTAAGCCCAAGTCATAACATATGGTTCAATTTCGTCTGCTCTCATCGACCATCATGGTCAAGACCTTGGCTCCTCATTGTTTGTGGAAAATTTTGCAATAAGAAAAGATGGCGACTCCGCTGGGGAAGAGCTTCTCTGACGAAGAAGTGGTGGCGCAATCCGATGTTCATCTCACTGGAACCACGGTTGAAACTCTCGTCATAGAGTTCGATCAAGCCAAGTATGAGGAAGTCCTCTCCTCCGGATCCCTTAGCCCCAAGGCTATGCGCAAGATCCACAAAGTCTTCAAAGAGACTAAAGCTCCAACTGCTCCAATTACAGCCGAACCGTCTAAGGAAGATTGCTCGGACCGAACTGCCTAAGGAAGACTGCTCGGACAGCCCCTCCCCTGATGGAGTGGGCTCAGCTTCAGCCAAACCCGCGTCAAGACGACGGGTATCGGGTCGAAAGATGCCCATGGAGGCGGCCAAGGCCTTGAAGCAGGCTAAGAAGAACGTCGTTCGACGGAGGAGGAGATCCTTACGACGAGCACATCTCCGAGAATGCCGATCCTCAA